TCATAGATGTGTATGTTCATGTGGGATACTTTCTCATTATGATTAGTACACACACGTATACTGCAATGTTATGAAAAGAAAAAAAAAGAATCTAGAAGAAAGGAGCCCGTGTGGGTATTCCCTTCCTGGTTCGTTTTCTGAGGGACTTGTCCTTCCCCAACCCTTCCTCCACCTCATTTTGCATTGCCTCTTTCTCGCTTTTATCATTGTTCTGCACAAAGGAATTGTTTCCGTAAAATAAGTAAATGAATAAAAGAAATATAAAGAGGAAAAGAACAATAATTACTTTGCAATGGTGTGAACGAAGAGAGGGTTGAACATCAAAAGAGCATCCACATTTTTGACATCCATATAATAACAACACTTCTTCTGCTTGCTTTTGACCTTTCGAACCCTCCGTTGCAGCCGACGCCTTGTGATCCTTCCGCAGTCGGAGATTATAAGGAACCGACTTGTCATCCATTCTCCAACACCACCCCCAACCTAAAACAAAACAACCTTAAATAACAAACCTTCTCCCCTAACACTATTCTTTGACCTTTTCCTTCGCCCAATTTATAGGATTATCCTTTCACACCTATCTCCTTCCCACTCACCCATTTTCTCCCTCCTCCAGCCCTACCTGTCCAAGCCCAAGCCCATTGTTAGTAGTTATTATTTATTTGTGTTTGTTATCATCATTGTCTGTATTACTTCGTTACGTATTATACTCTTGTAAGGAATGTTTCGTTTCCCACTCCAACCGATATGGGATCTTGAGAGAGATTTCCACACTGTTACAAAGAATGTTTCGCTCTCTCCAACTGATGTGGCATCTTGGGAAAGGGTGGAACCAACCGATGTGAAATCTCAGGAGAGACTTCCACACTCTTATAAGGAATGTTTCGTTCCCCACTCCAACCGATATGAGATCTTGAGAGAGATTTCCACACTGTTACAAAGAATGTTTCGCTCTCTCCAACTGATGTGGCATCTTGGGAGAGGTTTCCACACTGTTATAAGAAAATTTTCGTTCCCCTATTCAATCTGTTAAACTAGGATATGGGATCTTGGGAGAGGTTTCCACACTGTTATAAGCAATGTTTTGTTTCCCTCTCCAACCTCTTATAAGGCTCTTATAAGCAATGTTTCGTTCCCCTCTCCAACCGATAGTAAGATCTTAGGAGAGGTTTACACACTGTTATCAGCAAGAATGTTTCGTTCCCCTCTCCAACCGACATGAGATCTTAGGAGAGATTTTCACACCGTTACAAGAAATGTTTCGTACCGATTGGGATTTCACACATACTAACCTGACAAGTACCATTGAAAAGACTAAAGGGAGGGTTCACGAACTAAACGTTGGTCGGTCGGTCACAAAACCAAGCATGAATGACACCTTCTAGGGTTAAACCGAACCAAATCGACAGCGTACATGAACTTTTCTCTATCAAACCCAAAAAGGGTAAAGTCAAGGTTGTTGTTTTGCAACAAAAATGATGGGTTATTATTTAATGGATATATAAATGAGATGTCTTATTCGGTTTAATAAATAGATTAGTGTTAATTATTTAATATTGTATATTGTTTTCAAATTACTCTTTAATCTTTACAAATCTTAGATAGATTCAGCAAAAAGTTTTTAAAAATTTCAAATATTATTAAATTATTATAATATCTAACCCACGTAATATGAGATAGAATCCAATAAAGAATCTATCTGATATTACTTTATTATTAACGAAATAAATCCATGGTCGACTAGGAAAAGCATTTGATCTTCTTGTTTGGTTTATAAAAAGGAGGCTTCCCAAACCAAATTAGTAGAGAATCTGGAAAGTCTTACTGACGCAAGAACTCCAAGCTATACAAAGAAAAGGTAAGCAAAGAATTTTGTTATTTTTTTGACAGACGGTATCAAAGTCACATCCTTATCTTAGTTTAATCGTGTTAATAGAATCATCAAGTATTGAACAAAAATTTTGTAAGTCGTGAATTTAATATAGTCCCACATTCACGAATTTGTAAGTAAGGAACTACGAAACTCAAAGTAGACAATATGTGAAGTGATTCCTAACTTTAGAGTCTTTGAGTGGTGTGGTTGAAAAATATTTTTGAATCTAATCTCGATCTCCGAAAGTGTTTTTGTTCCCCTTTTTAGATTTGATCTTCAAAGATATTAACGTTTCACGATGACGGATTCGAATGCGTCGAAAAGTGCAAAGCTTGCGAAGGAACAGAAATGGGCAGAAGCAGATGCAACATTTTTGCTAGCACTAAGCACAAAGAAGAACATGACAGAGATGGCATCTTCATCTTCTTCTTCTTCATCTGGGATTGAAACACAGAGGAGTAACGATACAATTAACCATTCGAGGCAAAGGTATTTGAGAAGCTACCCGTTAAGCGATGAGAAGGAGAAGACAAACAACAAGGGCATTTGGAAGTTCTTCGGCTGCTTCACTTAAAGTTTTTTAGTTCATTGGTAATTTAATTTTTATCTTCTTAAGCAATAAAGTATTCATATTTAATAGATAACAAAATACCCATGTCATTAGTATGAGATAGAATCTTCGAAGGATGTTGAATACATAACTTGAATTTTATACGATATTTTACTAATAAATAGATGGTCAAACTAAACGCTTAAACAAAATTTTGGAAGACATGTTTCGTGCATGAACATCAGATTTTGCAAGTAATTGAGGTACCCATTTTTATCTTATCAAATTCACTCTTAACGTTAATATCTTTTGAGAATCTAAATGAAATAAGAACAAAAAACTATATCTTTTGAAGTTATTCATAATTATTTCTTGATTTACTCCGGATTTAGTTTTTAGAAGATTTAATATATAATTTTTCTAAGAGATTGATTTAATTTGTGAAGAACAAATTTCAAAATTTATGAAATATTTTAAAATTTGAAAAGTTTGATCAAATGAAAAGATATCCACGAGCATAAAGTTTTGTTCATCCACGTTTCATATTATTCATAGAAAAAGAATGTAAGTTGACATTAAAAATTTGGCATATAGAAATCTTCGGGGAAATATGATGAAATGTGAACGTACAATCCCATAGGAGCAATGAGTGTCATACCCTTTGGATCATATGACTTGAACAACCATAATCTTTCCGACGTGAAATTGTAGAAGAATTCCCATGGACACAAACACATTGCGGATTCAAACTCATCTCCCGCTGCAAAACCTCCAATTATGCATTCATTTCTCTGCAAAACATTCGCAATAATATCATATGATTATGTTAATAAAAAACTCTAATGTCAATGAAAGAAGTTGAGACTCTTGAAAGTGTAGTAAAAAAGTGTTGAATAAAGAGTGTACTTTGTTTAAGGGCTCTAGAGAAAGGGGTCGAGTCTCATTTAAGGCGAGGCTGTTCGAGGGCTTTATAGGACTAAGGAGAGGCTCTATGGTATATTTTGATCGAGAGGAGGATATCTCCATTGGTATGAGGCTTTTTGGGAAACAAAAAGGAAAATTACAAGAGCTTATACTCAAAGTGGACAATATCATACACTCCTAACTAAAAGAAACGTTGGACATGACATGGTTACAAGAAAATACCTGAGTTGTAAGAACCACCTCCAAATCTTCCACCCACAACTTGATTTGTGAATTGGTAATAGTGAGATAAGCTATCACAAATCACAAATAATGATTGCTTTAGAGAAGTTGAAACATTTTGGTTTCAAGAAATATGAAAATGATGATAAAATTACCATGTTCATTATTTTCTAAACCCGTCACAAGGCGTCGAAAGTGAAACAAATCAAAGGACACAAAGGATGCATAGTCAATTGCACCCTCGTTGATATCCCGTTCAGGAGGCGACGTGGGTATCAGTTTGGTCCTCGGATGTACGAGGCCTGCAAGAAAGACATGTAAAGAAACAAGAAGAAACAAGAAAGCAAAGATTGATGGAAAGGAAGAATATAATGAATGAATGAATTACTAGGAGGGGAAAATTCCATGGCAAAATGGCGTTGGTTCTCCGCAATAGAGAGGGTGAGGGAAGAAAAGCGATTGCTTCGCTGTTCCACGATTGTCATGTAGAAATCGTCGATGCTGAATTGAACGTAGTGGTGTTGGTCGCAGGCGTATTGGGGGAAGAATTCAGGCGTCATTTTCAAGACAAAAACGGCGTAAGGGCGAATTTGGAGGACCATTATGGAGAAGAGGGTTGGAGAGCATTTGAAGAAGGCCGTGTGTTCAGCTCTATGCATGATGGAAATTGCGTGGGGGAAAGTGCCGAACAGGGCGTGCTCCAAGATCACCATCGCTGTGTTATGCCACAATATGCAAGGACAACAATGCTTTCAGATTATTTTCCTTCTCCAAGTGCATACAACTTCATGCATTTCACTCTTTTTATACTTCAATCATACCCCACTTGCCATTTTTTTTTTGTTCATTCAAAATAAGAGATATAGTTATTTCCAAACCCCTATTTCATTTCCTACTCTTTGTTACTTCTTTGTTCATAATTATTTGGTTCTTTTTTATTCTTAATTTGTTCGCATTAAATCCCAAATTTGATCTAGTCCATGTTTTATATTAAAACTATCGATGGTTTGATCGATATATAGGTCCCAAATAAATCGTGTTTGATTCCATTGATACACCCAAAACAAAGGGAGTGTAAGCTCCGATAGAAAAAATCATAAACTTAGGTTTATAAGGTTTATGCTAATATAACATGAACTAAAGAAAATTTTGAAGAGTCAAGACAGGTAAACAGGTTGGAACACATTTCGACGGTGGATTGAATTTTTTCAACATGATAAAACTAGGTCTATCTTAACAATATGCCTGACCCATCAAAAATTTATTTTTAAATTCATCTCGACCTCTGATTTCTTGGTTGAGTCATGTCTAAATAGATATCCACGGGTATCAATATAATATTGTAACAATATGACACAAATTACAAATTATTAGGTTGACTTCTACAAATTACAAAAATAAATCAGTATAATCATGAATTGCCCCAAAGAGTGAAGTGACAAACATAAAACTGCTGGATGATTACTAGAACTTGGATTTAGGAGGTCTGGAAAAACATCATTCAGAGTAAGATATTAGTCGAACATAGTACAAACATACATGAAATGATAACAGCCACAGGCAGGATGATTCTGAATCTACTTTTACTGCTATGCACTTATGTGATATATCTAATTTCAAAATGAGTTCGAGAACACAACCTCTTCAGGCGGAACTGCCATCACCTTTATCTTGTGTTGATGAATCTGTTGCCCGTTTCTTCGTTGGGTGGGAGGAGTCAGCAGACTCTGAATTTGTTGATACTCGTTTGACTCCCCTTCCAACGACGCCAAGGTGCGTCACTCCAGCCGCGCCGTTCGTGTGTGCAGTTGAGACCGTTGGAGAGTCAAATCCTCCATTGCTGTTAGCTGAACCCATCTGTGAGGAGTTCAACACTGCTGGAAGTGGAGGAGCGATCTTTTCGACTTTTGCCTTCGCCGCTCCTATCCCGAGGATCTCCGAGAGGATTGACTTTGGGTTTGAGGCCAGCTGTTGCAGATCTTCAAGCTGCACAAACACAAAACAGTGGTTAGATTTTTCCATTTCTCTGTCACAGTTACTTGCAGAAGTTATAATCTAAACTCGCCTTCTTTTCTAGCTCGACCAAAAGCCCAGATAGAATTTCAATCTCAGATTGTTTCTCTGTTGCAGCATTGGCATGGTCAGACTGGGAGTCATTGGACGATAGTGGGACCTCTGGTTCTGACCCAGAAGTAGAAGAAGCTGTGGTCGGTACAATGATACCCTTTACTTCATCAGTAAGCCGCATCACACGTGACTTGCAAATTGATATTGCCTTCTGGCAAAATGAAATGGCTTCCTGCGGCTGAGAACCAAACTCCAGGCACAAGCATACACGGAAGTTTCTGGAAGTTTCAGTTTAAGGTTGCAAAAGACACTTTCCTCACTTGAAAGGAAGTGATGTGGTTCAAATGTCAATAATAGCAATTCATACGGTTTTCTTTTTCTTAAGAAAAAGCAATATATAATTAAAATAAAAACTAAACTTTTATCATCAAGCTCCTAGAATTTATAAGATACTATTATAAACGAGGTAGAAACATAGACTAACAAGCTCCCAGAATTTATAAGCTACTATTATAAACAGAATTGAAGTCGGCTACCTTGAAAACAGGATGTTTTTTCTTCTTTTTATCTTGAATTCTCGGTTAGAATATTTTGAAAACAGATTTTTACGTATATATTATATTCTATTTACGTACTTATATGAGATTTAGAATCTGAAAGAAGGATACAGTTCAGCAAGCTGTCGATTGTCAGGTTCGACAAGTCTTTCTAAAATTGATAATGCTTTCTGGTAGTCACTGAGGGAAGTTTCAATGTCCTCTACATGAAGGAGAGAGAAAAAAAATGAACTTTAAAATTAAAATTAAAGGATAACCTATAACCCTCTAACCCGAGAAAGAAAGGGGAATAATATCAAAGAAACACAAACCAACTGAATGTGTATCACAACAGAGCAAATAAAATGCATGTATACCTCTTTCCAGAGCAACTTCTGCCAAGGCTGACAATATGTCTACTTTCTCCATCGTATCACCCGAGTCTTTTTCAACTATTGCTCTGGCAACGTCTAGCATTTTCCATGCTAAATCAAGGTCAGATTCGTCTTCATCTGCATCTGCTAAGTCCTCAGTACCACTATCATCACCCTCTTCTTCATCCTGATCTTTCTTACTGGAAACTGTCTCAAAGAAAAAAAAAAAAAAGGGAAAATGGAAGGTCAAAAATCTCCTAATGAGATAACTTTTTTAAAAATGTACATTTTTTATAGATAAAAGATGGGGATAATCTTAAAACGAAGACCAGCAATAAAATAACACAGTCAAAATCAAGCGGAACAAAATGTTAAGCATGATAGTCCATCATTCAAAATTGAAGAGCATTTATACATGCCTCTTCACAGTTGAAAACGACTGTCATCCTAGTAACTGTTCATAATTTAAGTGATTCACAGTTAATGCATGTAAAAATGATACATGATAGAAGTTGAGATTCCATGTACGTTATACATCAAACAAAACTCCTATAAAGGAAGATAAGATACAACTTCTTTTTGATGCATCAGTAGGTACCATCAAATCTACATAATTGTACTTTTAAAAACAAGAAACAGCAAATTCATTCAAATGATGAGTAAAGCAGTAAACTACAAGCCCCAAGAAAATTGTTCTATTCAAAGTGCTTGATTACATAGATAGAAATTTATAAAATTATTGAAATTGAATACAATAAAAATCTGTTGTTGCAAACACGATGATTCAATGCAAAAACTTTTCTTAAAAAAGTATTTTGACCACATAAGGGAAGTTAAGATTAAATGGCCAGATAGACATCAGCAAGTTAGCAAAGAATTCCAAGGCAGATGTCTCGTCTTAATCACCAAAAATTTATTCAAGTTATTTCTTAGGATTTAGGGCCCCAAAGCTCTGAAACGACTACATAGGATGATGATAGCATTAACTTTTTTTTGTAATAAAACTGGACGGTGGCTGTATCACTGCAGCTAATTTTTTTTTTTTTTTTTTTTTCTTAAGATAATATGTACAACATGAGAAGGTAAATATTGACGAGTGTGACAGTGGGGACACATCCAGAAGTAAAGCAATAAGGCATCAATAATTTGTTGAACACAAGTTGTAAAGATCCCTAAAGACCTGTAGTTAATATTCCCATTTGCAACTCAAACAATAAAACTTCAGAAATTTATAATTCATCAAATTCTAAAATAATGTATAAAGTGATCGGCATTTTCTAAAGCACTAAGTGGATTGAAAAATGAAAAAAGATGCACAGAGCCACACTGGAGATGCAAAAAAAGAAGATGCAAGCCAAGATGAGGTGAGGTGCATGATATCACATGGAAAAGTAATTCATTCTAAATATTGAAATATTACAGGACATAAAAATTCATAAAATGTTGCTGCAAGCACTTTGAAAAGAGAGAATAAAAGGAAACGATAGAGACAAAGTGAAAGGAGGAAACAAGAAACTAAAGTGGAAGACAAAGCTTCCGTAAAGGCACTTATATGCAAGACATAAGGAAGGGTACTTGAATGTCCACTGCGATAAGTCATCACGCCAAGGTATGTCAGTCACCTAGACTCAAGTCAAATGACTTCCACAGAAGGCAAGATACCTATCCAATTAGAGCTGGAAGCCTAGCGAACATGTAGGTGTGTTCTAAACAGGAAATGATGATAGTCATCAATGATTAACGTGTATGCATTCTAACTTAGCAATATATAAAAAATCCTGCTTTTCACGAAACAATGAAAATCATCACATTCTGATGTCCATAAAAAAATAAAATTAAATTAAAAAAAAAAAGCTATAGAGCTTGTAACATCTCAATACCGAAATAAAACAATACATTGAAAAAAAGTAATTGATCTCTTCGTATTCAGTTGAACTACTTCAATGAAACTTAGACACCATAAAACCAGCAGCAATTTATTCATGCTCAGTATGCTTCTGTAGCACCAAATTCATTGCTTAGGTTACCAAGAAATACATCAATGAAACAAAGATAAAATAAAACCAGAAGCATGTTGCTCTCAATGCTCAAGTATATAATATAAGATCCTCTCTATCTTTAAGGAAGGGAAAGGCGAGAGAATAAGTAAATCAAGGTTGAATCCTCTTCAAGTTAGTCAAATATTAAAGGGGAATTCATTACGCTGCAACATGCCATGTTTCATGTAGATTTTAAATAATGTAAAATAGAAAATATCCAAGGAAAAGAGAAAGGAAATGTATGTTAGGAACTAGATAAGTTAGACATCATGAGGAAGATACCAACCATCATCTGCAACTCCATCCACCAGTTCAGCATTGCTGGAAACAGAAGCTTTTGATGACTCGCCATTTTCAGCACTCTTAACAGATTCATCTTTGTAAGATTGTTGATGGGGTTCACCTTCTTTCTTTGGGACAGCTCCCAGTGGATCTGCCTCCTCCTGGGCTTTGTACAATAAAGCACATCCATATTTGTAGTACAATTTAACACATTCCGGAGCCAGTTCACCATATCGCGCAGCTCTGCAGTGAAATATTTTCAAGATTATTGCTAGAAAAAACAAATCAAAGGATGAAACTAAACGCATGCAAATGCTTGATTTAAGAATACACTTTTCACATCGTAAAAGAGACATGTTCGCAACAGGTATCCAATGATATAGACAAGAAAAAAAAATGAGCAACAAGTTCTTATATGCAAAAGTTAAATAAAGTTGGAACCTAACAACATTACAAAACCTCGTTAAAACTCAATTCATATCTACCAAGACTGTTCGGTGATCCTGACGAGCGGTTGATCTTCAATAAAAGAAAGATAAAGTTCCGAAAATGAATCTGGAGCAACGAAAAGCTCCCCCACCGCTAAAGAAAATGGAATTAAAATTTACCCAAGATGAAAATCTTAAAACCGACAAAATGATAAGTGGAAACATGTGATCTAACAGAGTGAAGCAATTGTAACAAATCAACTTTAAGACTTCAAGGGTAATAGAAGCTCGACTTTCATCTTCGTTCCAGAATTCAATTCATAATCAAAAAGAAACTGAAGAGAAAGTGAAAAATAACCAAACCCTAACCTAATCTCAAGGGCACGGCTGAAGCAATCGACAGCCTCAACGAAATCGTTGTCCTTAATAGCCTTGGAACCCTTCTCCAGCAACTCTTCCGCCAGCTCCAACGATTTTTCACCACTTCCATCCGAGGTTTGAGCAGTGGATTCAGCACCGGGCTTCGTTTCATTGGAACAATTGCAAGACGACTCGAGGCCTCCCAGAACATCGGACTCAGTGGTGGCCTTACTGACGTTCAGGATTTCGTCGAGTTTCGGTTTCTGCAACGTCACTGAGAGCTCCGATGGTGGATCTTCGTCGGCCATGGCTATAGTTTCGAAGCTTGGAGAAAATGGAGGTTTAAGCAGAGGAGTCCGCACTTCAAGCTTTAAAATCCTTTTTGGGCGGAAACGCGACAACAAAAATTGTATTAAAAAAAATTGCACAATATCCAATTTATACATTCATTTAAATTCAAATCCATTTTAAAATGGTTAATCCCTTCTATAAAATTCTAATCCATTTAAATGCTAAGATTTTTATTATTTCAATATATTTTATATAGACGTAATCTGTTAAGATTTTATATTAGATATATATTTTATTTGGGTGTGTGACTGTATTATTTGAATATATTTTATTCCGTTAAGATTTTAATATATTTTATTATTTGAATATTCATAAAAATTGGACTCTAGATCCCATGGGGACTTTTGATTCCACTCATGTTTTTCGAACGTTAGATCCTATTTATGTTTCTCATTCTTAACATACATGACTTTTTGTTAGGGGGTGTGTACATTAAACCCGACAATCCGAAAATTCAAATCAATCCAACCTTTGATAGCACGATTACCCAATTATCCTCATTCACTAGTCATCATGTTCTATCGGCTTTTAAAATCTCCTTTCAAGTTGTGGTTACTCCCCAATCGTCCTAGGTCATTGGATGTGGAATAGGTCTTCAAGTTCTCTCGTATTCCTCCTTGACTCGCTCAAGGTCTGTCAAGATCTCAATATTGTCAAGTCATCGTAGACAATATGCATCATTCCTTTACTTGTATTTAATATTATCTATTTACTTCATGCACTTGTACACGCGAGTGGATCATATGACTTTTATCTAAAGTTTTAGGTATGTTCGACCAAAGATTTTATCCACTCAATAGAAAAATCCTCAAAGCCTAAGTTAGACAACATATCGAAGCTCACTGGCTCATAAGTCCTATGCTTTATATGATCCTTATTAACTCATTTGGATTGGATGCACTCACATCAGGGTCCTTAATTTGTTGTGATTGGTAATAGACGCCAAATCTCAACACTACCCAAGGTCGTTTGTGGCATGATAGCTACTCGATTTTCGCGCTCCATCATATCCCCTTTAGATGTTAACAAATCTCGTGCCACCAATCAGCATTTGTGACGACTATAACCTAACAATGATGACCTTTTGTCACTACTTATGCTGACTTATATGTAACTTCATTCTCGGTTAGAAAAATACATTGCGTTCCTGGGATACTCTTGCATCGATCATTTAACCATGTGCAATAGTTCCTCTACATCCTTAATCTTTGAGTCGGTGTCTAAGTTCAACTCTTCTCATAGGACAAAGCATAAGCAACAACTTACTACATTATTCTCCTTCTTAGGCGATACCCGTTATTCACAACATCCTACATCTCATCGAGCCTACTTGTCTTCCTATCGTGACCTATCTTGTGTGCTTCTCGAGATTTGTACCCTCTTGTAGTACTCAACTCAAGCCCTATTAGAGAAAATCTACTTTCACACCATACTCCGCTCAAGAACGGATCTAGATCACCTCCTCAATCGCAACACCCTCTCAAATGATACTCAAAGTTCATCATCATTGCCCATGGGGTGACAAGTTATTCGTTCACTCGTTAACACCTCCTATGGTGTGTTTATTGTTCTATTTCTTTCCTTATAATCGACCAAGGTTTTACTAGCGTCTGTATCTAATGCAACATTAAAATATCGGACTCCACATCCCATGACAGTCTTCTAAGCTCCATGTTTAAAGTCCCTTGTGGATTTGCCACTTTTGCCTAAGTTGCCCTAAGCACTTGGTCTAGCGTATGAGATATCACTCTACTTCAAGTGTGTTCTTCTCTTAATATCCTACTTCATGCCCCTCCGACGTACTAAAGTCCTTCTAATTCTAAAGAGATTATATTTCTTAATACAGCCATCAGGGAGTTCATTCGCATATCGGTTTCCATACTCCCAAGTCAACATATTGCACCTTGGTGGTGAGACTATTAACTCATGTTTTACCTAAACATTTAGTACGAATCTAGGCTACTTCTTTGACGAATTTGTATTTATCATCGTGCACATCCTCAAGCACATCCTTTGTCATGATACTTTAGTTGAAGACCATGTGTGTCTTCTCGATATTTAGACCATCTCAGCCGATAACTCTATTTCCTTATTGCCCTTTCAAGCTCAATTTTTTTCGATGGTTGTCCAAGTTGAGGATAGTGAATACATGCAACAACGCGGTCAGGAAGGTTACAACTTGACAACGTGGTCCGTTGACTCGACCGATCAAATTTGCATGCCAACACAAATAATCAAAGCCATAGTTTCACTAGAATTTTATAGAACTCTTAAGATTCTCACACCATTTCCATCCTCTCTTCTTGCTGAATACGAATCTCCTCTTTATCCTCACCAATAGGGGCAAGCCTCCCCCTCTTTGTGAACACAAATGTATTGCACTTGAACCCCACTCATACCCTTCCATTTGTTGACGTGTCAGATATTTGACGGTTCAACGCAAGGGTATTTTCGGTAACTGATTAATGAATAAAACGAACCGCTAACATTGCATCGCCGCGTTGAAAGGATCAGAAGTTTGCTCAAAAAGTCGACAGTGAGAGACGAAGCTATGGCTTCCACAATCTCACCCATTCTCCAAATCCTCCAACCACGATGCCGATTAAACATCACCGTACGCGCCGCCTCAGTGAAACCACCGCCGGAATCTCTCTCTGCTGCCAGAACTCGGCGACAGACACTGTTGATTCTTACGGCGACGGCGACGGCGGCGGTAGTGGGGAGAGAAAATCCGTCAATGGCAGAGAACATTCCTCTGTTCGGGCTGAGGAAGAAGCTGAAGAAGGTGGAAGAGGAGGCGGAAGAGATCGTGAGGGAAGGATTCGAGGCGGCGGAGAAAGGACTTGAGACGGCGGAGCGAGGGATCGTTACGGCGGAGAAGGGCATTATAACGGCGGAGAGAGGGATCGAAACGGCGGAGAAAGAAATCGAATCAGCGGTGAATTTCGGAGCTCTGTCGCAGGCCGGAGCGGTCGCTGGAGCTGAGGTCGTCGGAGTGCTTGTTGCTACATCGATTGTTAATGGTATTTTGGGTCCTGAAGGGCAGAGTTAAAATTAAATGGGTATTGGATCCTAAATTTTAGTGTTTGTTTACTGCTTTCTTGCTGGGGTTTGTGTTTATAATATTATTGAACGAAATGTTGTAGAAATATTGGATAAATTATGTAGCTTTGGAAGTGATGAACAAACTTTGTTGGACTGTTCCATCTAACATTTGAATAGATGTTTGGTCTGATTCCACTCCTTACCTTTTAGTGTGAATGGATAAAGAAAAACCCTCAAAGAGTTCGATGTCAAACATGCACAACTAAGAAAGTTTACAACATTCATTCATTCTTCATGCCTCAAGAAGGGAGCGATTTCAAGACTAAAGAAAATCAAAGCATCTCTTCCTTTTCGCCTGGCCTGGAGGGCTTACGGGTCTGTGGGCACAGTTGAACAAGACTCGAATTTAGATACAAGTGGAGTTGAAAAGTTAGAAGTTAGCCAACTAAAAACTAAAATGTGAGAAGAAATGACAAGTAGAACCTAAGAGATAGTCTAAGCAAGCTTTGATATCAAGTTATAGTGCTTGAATATAGTACAAGTTCTGAAGGGGATAATGTCGATCAAACTCTCAAAAGGAGATCAATGAGAGTGAGTGAGTAAGAAGAAGCCCTAGTTGGGCTATGATTAAATAAGATAAGAGCTTCAAAACTAGAAACATTTGTGATAAACTTATGACAAAATTATACAATATTTGGACTGAAATTAGGCTTAGGAGTAAATTAGTGACCTGAGAACTTTTGGATAGACTCTAAAAAGCTGATTTATCGGAAATGATGACTAAACTCCATGGAGATGAATGATGAGACTGCGGTACAAAAAAGAGTTTTATTTTATTTTTTAAACCTTATAAAATTTTAAAATAGTATGTTATAAATATTAATGATGAGTATAAATGTGATGTCACATATATATATATGCATATCCTATAGCGTGATCATGTCATGAAAGTATTATGTGCATCGGACTCAGGAGGATCGTACAAATACATACAGCATCCTTGCCGTTTCGATAGCCTAAGAATGAGTCCGCTCTCCACATTCCGTTGTTCTTCCTCAATTTCTCCTCCTCACATACCCTAAAATCCCTCCCTCTCTTTCTCTCTCTTTCTGAGAGAACCGCGCAATGTTCGGCAGCGGAGGCTCATCCAGACGCGGCCTAGTTTTCTCCGAACACGACGACAACAACAACAGCGTCCACAAAACACGCTTCAACAAACTCAATAAATCCTGCCTCCACGATTCCGACATCTCCCTCCGACTCCCCACCCGCCACTCCCACAACCTCGACCACACCATCCTCCCTTCAATGGACACCGAGTCCGACCCGGACCCCTCCTTCTCCACCTCCCCGTTCGCCAGATCCCCATGGTCCGCCCACTTCAATACCGACCTTCCGCCCACAGCCGAGGACAATTCCTTCCTCCCCAATATCCTAATGGGCTCCCTCGTCCGCGAAGAGGGCCACATTTACTCTCTCGCCGCCGCAGGGGACCTTCTCTACACCGGATCCGACAGCAAGAACATCCGTGTCTGGAAGGCCCAGAAGGAATTCTCCGGGTTCAAATCCAACAGCGGCTTGGTCAAATCCATTGTAATCGGCGGCCAGAAGATCTTCACCGGCCACCAGGACGGTAAGGTCCGGGTCTGGAAGGTGTCGACTAAAGACCCAAGCGTCCACAAACGAGTTGGAACGCTCCCCACGTTAGGCGATTACATCAAATGTTCGATGAAACCCAGAAATTACATGGAGGGGAGACGGCGGAGGAACCTGTGGATAAAGCATTTCGATGCAATTTCGTCTCTGAGTTTGAGCGAAGACCAAAACTTCCTCTACTCTGCTTCTTGGGACAAAACCTTCAAGGTCTGGAGGGTCTCCGATTCCAAATGCTTGGAGTCCATTCAGGCTCATGACGACGCCGTCAACACTCTGGTTTCGAGTATTGATGGTTTGGTCTTCACTGGATCGGCCGACGGCAGTGTCAAGGTCTGGCGGAGGGAGCTGCAGGGGAAGG